GTTGTAACCTTCATCACTGTCGGTAGCTGCTCTTCTTGGCTGGCCTGTGCTATGCGCGGGAAAACGTGCGTAAGTCAAGCTAAGATTGGTTTAATGTTTGTTCCTGATTGATTGTTAAAAAAGCACCTTTGTCATGATTGGTGAAAGAGATGTGTTATATGCTATGACCTTCATTGCTGTGAGTTCTTCTTGTCATCACGGTTCACCTTAGCAGTGTAGTATACTGTAGTAACGCCGTGCTCAGTGGAGAATTGATCGTACCAAGAGTTTGTTTATTTGCTTGTTTTTTGTCTCCGCAGATCGGCTATGAGAGACACTGGCTTCACTTTCTCAAAGAGTTCATTGTACCTGTCAACGCCAGACTATACCCTGGTTACAACTCTGAGGTACGAATAAACCCGAAAAATCATCTTAAATATTTGTGTCAAAATTTAAGAAATTCGTGACGTTATCTAGTCTATTGCGAAGTTTTGTCGCCTGGTACTTTGATGTGTCGTTGCAGCGTTTTCTCGCAAACCTCAAACTCTCTTAATAATAAGCGTCAGACTCTAACAGGGAGAGCCGAAATTACGTTCGTAGCCCGAAGATTTTGATGACGTTTACTGTCGGCGACAAGCTGATGTAGATTCAATAGTCGGAAACGCTTCGGGTCCTTTACGAAGATTCGCCGGAAACGACACTGGTCAGAATGTACTCCAACGATTTCTTGTTTTTAATCTTTTGTCTTTTTTGTTTCTGTTCTGTTCAGGCTCGTTCCGTCATGAACTTTGTTGTAAAGTACGATCCTAACCGACAGTACTATCTCAGACCACATCATGACTCTTCAACGTACACAATCAACATTGCTTTGACTAGGCCAGGGATTGACCACGGAGTAAGTACCACTGCTCAACAAAGCGTAAGTCAACAGCAATCATTTGAACCAAATCTGAACGTTTTCGAAGTGTTTCTCAGTGGGTTTTCACGCAAAAAGACATGCGAAAGGCTTGGCCAATCAGAATGGAGGCTGCGTTATCTTAGCCAGTGAAAAGCGGAATGGTTGTCGCCACTTTTCGCGCGCTTTCTCCATTAAAATAAAAATACGGAGCCTTGATTATATACGAGCGTCTCATTGCTGCGTAATATATTATGAACTGCGGTAAGTTGAATGAAATAAATGGGAACGGTCGGTCCTTTAGATATAACGTTTTTAGCGAGTTCATAAAACCGACGTTGCTGTGTTCATTTTTTTTCTTGTTCGATGTTTGTTTGATAATTGTTTCTTCTGTTCTTAGGGCGGGGGATGCAGATTTTTGCGTTACAACTGTCAAGTCACGGAAACTCGCCGAGGCTGGTCTTTCATGCACCCAGGACGGCTCACGCATTACCACGAAGGATTGCCCGTGACATGGGGAAAGCGTTACATCATGATCTCTTTTGTAGACCCTTGAAAACAAGATATTACGCTTATAATATAAAAAGAAATTACTCCTATTTTTAGTACGCAGAATACAGATGGAATTTCCAAGCTATTTTTGAAACTAATTTTTACCGTGTCGCTAAAATCTTCTTTAAGCAGCTATTTTCTCAGTTGGTCCGCAGCAAGTAGTTTCATGTCAAAGGAATTAAACTGTACTTGATGGAAGTCCAAGTCTTGAACAGATTGGACAAGAAACAGTGCAAGGCTTAGACGCAAGGCGCACAATTTGGCAGTCAGCAACTTTCATCCCGTTGTTGTTATTAAATTTACAAATAGGAAGTAGTGTTTGATATATAAACTCAGATTTTATAAGAATTGATGTAGTTAAATTTAATGATATCCTAATATCAAAGTATGTAGTATCTCTTAGCAATCGTCACTTCACTTGTTACGTAACGCTTCACTCGGAAAAGAGAATATTTCGTGACAATGTAAGTCACGACAGGGAAAGAGACCTTCAATATAGTTGATGTTAATCATATATTTGTTGTTTAAGTTCAAGATGTTGTGATTGAGATATAATATACGGGTAGTACTGTTGTAAACCCATGCCCTGATGTCTGCTGTTTGAAGCATGTTAGAGCGGGTTGCAGGGCTTCCATTAAGTCTCGTACCTTCTGTGAGTATGAACGGGGTATCGCCTGGTGCAAGAAGCTTGGAAATGAAAATAAACGCCTGGCAACATTGTACTGGTGTGCTCGTTACGATTTTATTTTGATTCCAGTGAGTTTGGTAACCTCGATCCCAGGCTCTCTCTCCTCAGGCAGGCAAAGCTTACCCTAGCAACTTGTCTTGTGATCTAGAAATAGACTATTTTTGAGAATGAGTGGCGGCCTGGGGAGCGAGAAGTGATTGTATTAGCGCCTCTATGTCCTTAACTGACTTGAATCAAGGAGGAAAATACAACCTAACCTCTTCCGAGTTTTCGGGTTAATAGTTGGAAGCAGCACGAAAACGGCGAGAGCCCCCCAAAAAAGGCGGGGGCGAGGGGGTATCACATCCCGCACTTCTCCCCTAGTTTTCCGCTCGCCGTTTCTCGCGCTTCGCCCCGACTAAATGAACACCTGGAAGAGGCTAAATGCGATACGATTTCTGACTTTCTTATTCTAACGCGGCCAGACATCGCGTCCCCTTGAAGAGGAATGTGGTCAATTTTGAGAAACATTCAAGCTGGATTTAACTCTGACCCAAAAGTTGTATTGGCCATGCTTCTGATGCGCATTTGCGTTAGAGACTTTCATGGTTTGGTTTTCACAGAACTACAGAAAGACTTCGAGATCAAATGGCAAAATACAGCACTCCCAGAGGATATTACAGGAACTCCCGCACCGTACCGCTAGGCTACAAATTCCCAGCTCAATTTAGGGCAGTACATGTACCTGACTTCAAGGCGCAAAGAGCAATCCTGTACATGAATACAGCCTGAGCGTCAGATAGCCCTTTCACAAGGCCTGATGTGTTGGAGGAGTAGATAAGGGTGATTATCTTCTGGTCGTGTCGTTCCCTGACCATTCTCTTGTTCTTTTTCCTTGAATAAGGGATAGAGGGATAAAATAGGGTATAAATATTTCTTCCCCGGTTTTAGTTAAAGGTATTTTCTCTCACCCGGGATGTAGCTTGAACGCATCTAAAACTGGTGAGGTATAATTTTCTACTTGTTCTGCACGAAATTCTACACGGATATTCCAAACAAAATTAAACTCCAGCCTTCAGTCTTGGGGTTATTTTTTTCCCTACCGTGAGATCCCAATCATTCTCTATTGCCCCATAATTCACTCTGTTTGCCTCCCAAATTTTGCATAAACTATTGTTATGAAATGCTCTTGGAAATATGCAGACCTATTAAGAGTATTTCACAACAATAGTTTGTGCAATATTTGGGGGGCAAACAGAGTGAATTATGGGCAATTGGAAAATAGAGAATGACCCCTTTGAACAGCCCCCGCGGCTGCCCCTGAACCGCCCCTGCGGGGTCTGGTAATCTCGTTACCAGCCCTGTAGTGGACAAAGCCGAAGGCGAGACTTGAAACACCAAACAACAGCAGACACAACAACCTTCAAGGAACTTCAAAGACTAACAAAAGGCGCCCACGGAAGGACTGTGGGGATTTTATCAACACAGAATGAACTATCAAGCTGCCCTATGTTACTTTCTCCTACTTTTGTGTCCACCAAGTCATCAAAGAACGCCAACACTGACCCGAAGATTTCACGATGGCGACAAACAAGTGTTGATTTTCGACAAACTTTTTCCCACTGACGTTGTCCGCTCGTACTATGACCTTGTGACTACGGGAAGCGTTCCGGGAAACATTTCTTCGTGGTTTTATACGTACAGTGATTATTATCAGGACATTGGCACTCTTAATACATCGAGTAATTCACCGTGGATTGCACCTGTAAATCCTCAGTTTTTCTCCAACACTGCGTTGTGGAAGATCAGCCGAAAAGTTGTAGAAAAATTGTCAGGTGGCAAAGAATATTTTCCATACGATGTTTCTTTCTCAATGCATCGGAGACTGGATTTTATTACTGCTACTAGTAAAGGTAAGGGGGAAAAATACTTAAGCTTATGTACAGTCGCTGTATTTTTTTTTCTTGTTATAAATTCATGTTATTTATGAATTACAAGCTTATTTTAGAATTATGAATTATTTCCGTAAACTATTAAACTAGCAAAATGAAGCTTAATGTTTCGTTCTCAGCCGTTTAGTAATAACAAATTGTTTCCATTACGGTTTTGTGAAGTATAAATCAAAAGGATAATTTTACCGATTTTTTATGTAAATATTTTTTCCTTGCAAATGACATCTAAAACCTTCATTTTGTTTAACAATTAGTGACAATAATTGACTCTAAATTATTTTCACACCAGCTGGGTGAGAATGTTTTTGGAATGTTCCAGTTGCCATGATCACATGTAAGATTTTTTTGTCAACTTATAACTATAGTGGAGATTTTTATTATTTGTTTTAATACGAACTTATAAACATAGAACTAGTCCTGAAGTGCCGTTCAAGAATCGTTTTCTTGATCTGTTCCCTTTGTTATCCTCAGGCCTGCTTGCTTGAAATACACCTGTTACCTGTTTCACCATGTTAAATTGTGGAGGCTTCGCAGCCAATTGAGTTCACACTCTCTGACTTCACACCGAAATGTTGGCTGAGTTCACCCCCAACATTCATCGTAATAATTACTTGTGCTCATGCTCGAAGAGCAAGATAAACAAAAGGTTTGACTCACATGTGAAGCAATAGCTTAAGTTGGAGGTGTCTGATAGACTTTGTACAGAGTATTACGGTTGATGTTAAACTTCCACAAAGTTACACTCAGCTAGAGTTAGGGAACAAACTCGGTCAAACTCTCGAAAAATGTGGTGCAAACTTGGACAGTACAAACTTGACTTGGAGCAAAACCTCCTGCTACGATTTCTCCCTGGGGATATGTCGTAAAATATTGACGGATTGCATGGAATCTTCGCCTCCTGGGCAGTAATTAGACATTCAGGAAGATTGTCTGTTATGAAGAAAAATGCAAATCAAGGGACATGCCCAAGAGAAAATCGTAAACGTAAGATTAATTCATCCTTTTTACAAGCCTGCAGGAGATTGTGAAAACCTCAGATTGTAAACTCCTGATGTATTCTGTAGTTGGTTTTAGTCCAGCTGTTTCGTCTTAGGTTGGTGGGTAAAACTGAAGAATCATTTTTAAATGGATACCTTGTGGGCTCAATAATAGACCATTTTACAGTTGTCTGCTCAGTGACCTGGCCTTTGAATGACAGCAAGGCTGGAGGTGACCTTGTTTTGATACAGACCTCACTGTTTTTGTTTTGTAAATCANGAAGTGGCGGTTACCAAAAAACCCGAAAGATTTAAAACTTAAAAATACAAATATTTATGCAGGGGACGAGGCTGGTTTTGTCCCCAGTACTGCACCCAAAAGCGACCGGGGAAAAGAGGAAAAATGAAATGCGAAAAAAAAATAATAACAACCCGAAAAGCCTAACAAAAAATTCACTTTTGGCAAAAAGCGAATTTTGGCTAAAAGCAAAAAGCGGCGGGAGTCAATGGGTTAATCTAGTGACCAAATTTTTCGAAAGATGAGTCTTTTTGTGATAAATTGGGTAAATCAATCCAAAACAACTGAAAAACGCCAGGAATTCTGCAAAATTTGGATTTGAGGGGTTTTTTTTATGTGTATTCATAACCAGTCCCTTGGCCTTTACGCGATCCTCATCCCAGTCTCCCACTGGCCAGCATCCCAATCCAACATGGCGGCAGATTTCTATTTTGTGTTACTTTTCGTTGTGTTTTGTGTCCATTTATTCATTTGCCCGTTTACCAAAGTAGAAGAAAGTTTTAATATGCAAGCAACGCACGATATACTGTACCATGGAACAAACATTAGAGAGGTATGTGATATCTTTCACTTTGGCACTGATTTTGAACTAAAATACATATACGCATACAAGATAAACTACAGTTCGCATTCCTCGATGAAGCAAGCTCAAGCTTCAGCTTATAAAAGCTTAATTGGTTTAACAGCAGAATATTCAATTGATTGCACTGGTTTTGGACTCCTAATTGAATAGCGAAAGGTGGAGAAACATACCATGGCTTTTATGCAAAGATCTACAAAGTGTAAGCATCCATACAGAAATAGACCATTTTACAGTTGTCTGCTCACTGACCTGGCCTTTGAATGGCAGCGAGGCTGGAGGTGACCTTGTTTTGATACAGACCTCACTGTTTTTGTTGTGTAAATAAAGTTGTTCTAATGCTAACTAGGTGCATTTACATGTCAAAAGTAGAGAGGTCTTTATCAAAGCAAGGTCACTTCCAGCCTCGCTGCCATTCAAAGGCCAGGTCGCCGAACAAACAATGCTAAAATGGTCTGTTATGAACAGGGGTGCGTGCATGGCTCAAGGAATTAAGCTGAAGAGTGGGGATGACCGGAGGAGTGGGTGGGGGGGAAGAGATCCCAGGCTCTAGGGAAATGTCCTTACAAAATGTCTCTGTTTTGATCAATTTGGCTCATACACTGTATCATTAAAGATGATTTCCAGTCTGTACTGCCCACTTTTGAGAATTTGTTTACGTTTTTTTGTTTTGTTTCATATGAGACATTACAAAATGTAAACATTTTGCAGCTACTTACATGAAGTAAATTCAAATTTCATGTCAACCACCATTATGGATGCAAGACTATGCAAAGCTTTATGCTTTGTTCTTTCCCATATTACTTGATGAAACAACTTTGCAGCTGTAAAAATCCATGAAGCTGTTGGAAAAAGAATTTGAAAGGCCTCAAAGATAAGGTATGTTTATAAACATTAGGGTGCTGAGACTACACAGTCTGGACTGGAAATCATCTTTAAGTAAGAAGTTGTTTGAGGGGGGGGGGGGTGCAGTGGGGCAGGGGAGGAGGAGCAGTAAGTTGCTCCCTCAAACCCTAGCTCTGGATCTTAAAGTGGACCTTGCACAGCATGGAGAATGAGGATTCTGTTTTAAACAAATAATAATAATAATAATAATAATGATTAAAAACCTTTTGTATAAAATGTGCTGTGTGCTTTGATTCTGGTTGAAGATCAGTCTTAATTTAGTAGTGTCAATTTTTATCTCAAATATTACTGCAGTATGATCATTTGGAGTTTCCTGGTGTTGTACCTAGAACTTTCCTTGGTCCACTTGCTGTCTCCTCTTTTGGATATCCCATTGTCATGCTTCTTAAGGCTGCAAACACATCAAAATTATGCGTGCAGCTTGCAGGTAATACATTTGACATGCGTTTGCTCTCTGTCTGGAAATATATTTATAAATTTTATATTGTGTTAGCAAAGAGCCTTACATGTTGTATCATGGAGTTCCTTGCATGCTTTCATGTTTTTCATTTTGTCTGTTTGTTCTGGCAGTGCGCTTTTGTCTTGGATTGCTTTCCCTGCTCGCCTTTTCAAAGTTCAGGAGCTCTGTTTCACTCAGGTTTGGAAAGGATGTTGGAAACTTCTTAGCGGTCATTACTGCTACACAGTTTCACTTTTTGTTCTACATTTCAAGACCACTACCAAACATCTTTGCTCTTATTTTAGGTTAGTACATGTGCTCAACTATGTAGTTACATGTATAATAAGGGCCAGTCTGCATCAGGCCAAGGGATCCATAGTCCTGCGGCTTATCCTGGTTTCCATAGCATGATAAGTGACAAGGAGTATTTCTAATCCCCACCCAGATGAGATGTTAACTAGTCCGTCACAGGGCAAACCCCTCAGCATTAAATTTGCTGGACTCCGTTTAATTTACACCATGGTGGAGGAAGTTACAGTGAGAGTAAAGCGTCTTGCCCAAGAACACAACACAATGTCCCCAGCTGGGGCTCGAATCTGGACTACCCAATCCAGAGTCTAGTGCGCAAACCATGTGGCCAGCAGGCCTCCCACTACCAAACATATGTACTTACATTTTATTTAATTTTTTTTTTCTGCAGTGCTTTTTGCTTTCCAGTACTGGCTTGATCATTGTCATTCAAAATTTATTTGGACTTCAGCATTTGCCATTATCATCTTTCGATCGGAGCTGTGCATTTTACTGGGTCTAATTTTACTATTGGAGCTTGTAACGAGACGTCTATCTCTACTCATAGGATTCTGTCACGCAGGTCTGGCAGGCATTAGTGCTTTAGGTGAGAACAGTACAGGGAGACATTTCTTTTTTTTTTTAAAAAAACACAGTTGAGAACTACTCAGATTGGTGACAAATTTATCAATGAAAAAGTTGAGGTTTGTTACTGTTGTTAGTTTGAGTGGCAAACTTTCTTTTTTTCCTAGCCCTAACTGTTTCTGTGGATTCATTATTTTGGAGAAGGTTCCTGTGGCCTGAAGGAGAGGTGCTGTGGTATAACACAATACAGAACAAAAGCTCAAACTGGGGTGTATCTTTTCCTTTGATAACTTAGGCGGCGAAATACAAGATACAAAAATCCTCAACTTGTCGTGCAACATGAACAAATCTGTTGTGTGACAAGTTGTGAGTTTGATGAAAAACGAACAACAAAGCCAAAATTTGTTGCTCAAAGTAGACCTGCACTCTACTTTTCTTCAACCTGCAACAAATGTTTTTGTTGCACAACAAGTTGACCACGCAAGGTGAAAAACACGAAACGTCGACCCAAAACTTGCAATGAAACAATATTGCGCGACAAGTTGAGGGGTTTTGTATCTCGTATTTTGCTGCCTTTAGATACATGTACATGCATCTTCTAAGCAAGTATAACACCTGGAGAAAAAATAGGAGGAATGTGCGGGTTACTTCCCAAAACCCTACTTTATTTATGACCAAAATCTATGATTTTCCCTACCCTGGTTATGACCTAATTAAAAGATTTGATACCCTATTTAAGACTTGATCCTTAAATCAGTACCCTGTTTCAGACTGGTCTACCTTGTAATTACCTTCCTAGTTCAGACCAATGTTAAAGGCAATGTTTGTTTGTTCTTATTGGGTATGATAACTTCTTCTAAAGAACATACCCAATTCAAGACTAGAGTACAAAAACCATACCCTATTTGAGACCAAAATGGTCAAAAATTGATATCTTACTTCTGACCAAACTATCAGCTAAAACACACACCCTTTGGAACCGCACAGACCTATATAGCCCATAAAAGGGAGAACCTCCGCCCCCCCCCCGCCCCCCGGGTATAAAAGTACTGCAGTTATTTCAGCTTGTTTTAAATGATATTCATGTGTCTGGCATCACTGTAGGCTCTTAATGCATTCCAGAGAGATAGATTTGTGTTAAAGGAGTTATTAATTAAAAACAAATTTCCTTCACTAAGTGCCAGACATCTCCTTTCCTTTGGTATTTCTACTCTGTTCTTCCCAGATGTTTGTTATTTGGCCTCGTTCTAGTCCCTCTGGGGCTGTGGAGGGACAGGAGGACCTGGACACTAGCTGCACCATGTGTTGGTTTTGTGTTCCTATATTCATTTCTTCCTCACAAAGAACTTCGTTTTATTATTTATGTCATTCCTGTGTTTAATGCAGTTGCAGCCTGTGGATTGAGCTTCATGTAAGTTCTTGCAATTGAAGTATTTTACATTGTGGAAGTAACCATTAAAAAAATGTCTTAATCTTCTCCAATCTAAGTAATCCTTGAGATGTGTTTTTTTCTGCTATTATCTCTTGCTTTCTTACTCAGGCCTCTGTTTGTTAGTGCGCCCAGCGAAGCTTGAAAGAGAGCATGAAAAATGTAGGAAAATACAGAAAAAAAAAGAAAAGAAACTGCTTGTAGTCTTGTATTTCGTTTATCACAACGAATGTAAAAAGCTGTAATATGAGATTGCATGCAAAATGTCCAGTTAATTTTTTTGTTATTTGTTTTTGTTTCTAAAGAAACAAGAATGAAGCCAAATGGAGGTCATTTGTGTCCCTTGGGATCAAAGTAATTACTTGTGGGGGACTCCTCAGTAACTGTTTGGTTACAGGATTGCTGCTGTTGATATCCCATAATAATTACCCTGGAGGAGTGGCATTGCAAAGACTTCACAAGCTGCTGGAGAACCATACAGGTATAATGGAAAATATCTGTTTAGGCATAGGGCTCTATAAGTCACTACAGTAAATCTAAGTCCAGAAGGCAAATCTAAGTCATGATGTCATTGGCAAGGGTCAAAATTAACTTTTTCGTTCTGGAGCCAGCTGGCGACTAACGGAAAAATTTTGGTCGCCAGATCGTAAATTTTGGTCGCCAACTTATTTTATATATAACTTACACAAGAACTCGACTTTATACGTTACTTTGCATGCGAGAAAGTCACAATTGAAGAGCGAAAACAATTAGAAATAACACGAGTAACACTTAGTTATAAAGCTACCATTGTTCTCAGGTGACATGTCTCTGGTCGGAAGGTGAAGGTTGTCTCCACAGTCATTTTAAATGAAGCGAGGCATAAAACGTTTTAAGTCCGTGGTTTTCATTGTGAGACAAACACGGGTCCTTGCGTATTTTCCATTTGTTACTTCTTCGAAATGCCGTTCTTTATTTTCGACTTGCTTTCCACGACTCCTTTAGCTCACGTAATTCCTTCAACTGATTGGTATCTGCCGCCATTTTCGCGGCAAATGAAAAGCACATGGTGTTGAAGCGCGCCTGCGATCCCAGTTTC